ACAAACTTATTTTTCCATATCCAAGTTCCTTGTTTCAGTTTAGATTGAACAGTGAACAAATCTAATCAATAGTTTTAAATTTTAATTAATACACTTGAGAAATAGTTTAACCCAAGTTTCTCTCGATTTATATATTTCATAGTTTTCATCAATAGTAACTTAAGTAGGAGAAGCATTCATTTTTATTCCAAAATTATGATTAAAGTTTGCATTCCATGTAGATAAATTACCCCGACTTCAACATCTACGATTTGTTAATTCTACTGAGAACATATTCCACCAACTGTCTTGATGCATTTCCAAATCTGCAAGCCTATATCAAACGTTTCGAGGTAAATATTCGTGTTTACAAAGTTGGCTAATTTATTGCAATATACTTCAACTTTAGACATATTCAATAAAACATTTTAAAAGAATAGAATCGTTTCGTAAATCGCTTAATTACCCATTTGTTCCTGGAGTGCATTCAATGGAACTCTTCTTTGTAAAAAGAAGCTACGAATTGTCATTTCATTTTTTTGCATAATACCAGGAGATGAGGTTACCCTAGGCGAAATAACCGATCACTCAATTAAATCGGATCTGTCAAAACGACACAAACGTCACTGGTACAAACAAATTTTGACACGTTGGGTCCATTTCTAGAAATTCGGACTGCAGAAAGCCCAAAGGCAGTGCAATTAACTATATACATTTTAAGAATGACAGAAATTGATGCTTATAGGCAGGCAACCACTCTGTTGCTACCAATTGCTACTTTCTATGGTTGGAAGAATTTGTTCAGTTCTACTGCCTGAGTATTTCAGAGGACCTGTGACGGGGCAGAGATACGTACATTTCTACATCTTCGGGCATAATTTGGGATTTCTGGAAAGAATTTTGCCGTCTGACACGGTTTGACGAATTATGACTGGTGTTTTATGTCTGGATGTAGTTACTTGATCTAGGGAAATTGGATTTTTGATGTTTTAATATGCCATTATATCGAGTAATTTCATTCCTTTTGCTGTGTTCCTTATATGGAAAAGTTGAAATGTAATTGATTAGTTGAAGATCTTTGTTATTTGAAGGAAATCCCCTCAGTGAAGAAGTACATGAACTCTCCGGGTTACATACATCGTCCCTTCACCAATACAATGGCTCACTGGGGTTACTACTTTGACTGAAGCGTACGAGGAATGTTGACGCCTCTTCTACCTCTTTTCTGTTGTAGTCCATTGTTAATTGTGTGTTGTAAACATTGTCCTTCTTTAACACCAACAACAATGTGCTTAATGTTCTCTGTCAAATTTTATCCCAAATGCACTCATTAATAGCGCTTTTTAAATGAAAGGTGAATGTTTGGAACGCTGAAGAAATCTCCCAAGAACGCCAATTCCACAATATTTTAAACTAGAATGGCTGAAAATTGCTTATTGCTCACGGTTGTAATACCTGGATCCATATGCTAGATGGATTACTAAGATTGGCTTAGAAGGCTTCATTCAACGTTTCAAGTTATTTTCTTGATTTCTTGAACATTTAAATGAGTTCTTTTTCAAACTAGGCTCTGAACCAACCAATCAGCTTGATTAATGTCTGCTTGCAAGGGTCTTCTTATCGCAAACATATTTGAAAGAGTTGGCACACAAACAAAATGAAATTTTACAAAGGAATGCGCTTTTTGCTAAACGCGCCAGTAAATTGCACAAAACCCAACTTTCTGCTTCAAGAAAATCAAGATGTCTAATCGAGAGGCTTCAAGTAGTGAGAATCAATACCTTGAAGCTTGTAGTGGATTTCAACACGAGTGAACCTTGGCTGATCTTCAGTAATCTCTAGGACAAGTTGTTCTTAACAACATAGAGGAAGCAGACTTATGGAGTGGGATGTGTCTACTACTTCAAAGCTTAGTCATTAAAAAATCAATGAAGGGCTTGATGGAAACAATGTAGCGATTATTGATTGGCGGTTGACTGAGTGGCTACTGCTCTCACGACTGCACATTCTCCCCCCTCCCCACGCTACAATTAACACAAGAGCACCTTGGAGACTGCCTGAGTGCGCATGATATTTCTTTGTTCAGGCATAATAGAGCTAATTGATATAATAGGTATCGAATAATTTTCATCGGTCAACTATTTTATTTGTCTTAATTAATTTTAGCTTAAATTACAAAGAATAATAAGATATTGGAAAAATTACTCTATTATTACAAAACTGAGATGTAAATTCAAAGTAATTAAGCTTTATTTTGCTGGTATATGTCGAGAGAAAATTGAGTCTAAATACTTTTAGAAATAGTTGTTTACATAATATTTCAGTAAAAATCACATTTTTTTGTTCCTATATCTTTGTCTTTCTCTTCCATAAAAATTATGGCATTTTCTACGCCTTTCGTCATTCCTATAACTGTTCCATGATCTATGACTTTTGAACCTATGATCTCGATATCTATTGTATGAAATTGAATGGTGATGACGATCTCTTCGGTAAGTTTCCTCTCTGTACCTCTTTGAATGATCAAAGGAAGTTCTTTCACCTCTTTTATACCGGTGGATATAAGGGCTCGTTTGAGGATAAACCTCATTATGGCGACTATGCATTCTTCGACTCTCTGAAATCAAATTAATTTCTGATTGAATTCTTGAGCGTTGGTGGGAAAGATTTTCCTCGTGATTATATTTCTTACATTCCGATATTGACCTAATAGACATCTCTCGATGGGAACGTTTATTGATCTGGATGGAAGAATATGAAATTTGTGATTCATTTGGTGTTGGAGGCGTCTTCGGTCCCCCGAATGGCCGGCAGTCGAACCCTTGTCTATAAAGAGAATTTAGGTCAAAATTAGGTATCTACTCTTCTACTATATCCTGCTTATTGTCAATTTGTACTGAGAGAAGAGCTAACAATTGGTTTAAAAGTTCACGGTTTCTTGTGTTTAATTTTTGTAGAATATCATTTGAATGGGTCGGTTCGTCGACATCTTTCTCATCACCCTTAAAGATAATTTAAGTTATTTTTCATTTAAGGCTATTCCAACCTTACCTGATACATTTTTATTAGAATTTTTTAAAAAAGCATGCAAAATTATCCCAAAAGTATTGATTTTCGGTAATTAAAATTAAGTCAGCTGTTAAAAGCTTTTCCAATGCAGCTTTCTTCAAGAAGTACAAAATTATTTGAACTAAAGCGAAATAAATAAATAATTATGCAGATTACTCTTTCTATTTGTACTATGAAATGACTTTGCTTTAAGGGTATTTATTTATTTTTTGCACCATAATATCCCTCTTATCAAATCGACGTCAATCCTTCTAACCAATACGTACTTCCCAAACTGAGAACTCATCGACTGACGCCGTACTCCGTTGATTGACCATTGGCCTTCCAAGTTATATATATTCCTGTAACCACAGGAGCTGGTGATTAATTCTTCCTAAGATAAGCTTTTAGGGGCCTTAACATCCTTGTTAGTCAGCTAATACTAAGAATAGACAGCTAGAAGGATTTACTGATAAGATTCGCAATAAATAATAAAGTACCGAAAATTCATATTCAACCTTCTCAGTAAAAATTGAGGCATAGACAACAAGGGATTAGTCAGCTCAACCAGTTTTGGGAAAAACATTGGAGCATACTTGAAAAGAGAGTGAAGCCTTGACCAAGCCTCTGTTATCTCCTCTAACAAAATCAAAATGCATGAGAAGAAAAAGAAATTGAGAAACAGGGCGTATGACATGTAAGGCGTGTTTGTAAATTTGACAAGCTACCTACATGGTTAGCCATTAAATACGAACAGTGTTATTCCAAGTTGCGTAAAAACGATTGCTTATTGACTGAGAGGTTTCAGCAAGCACGGCAACGATCCAGAATGTAAACATAATAAAATCACTGGCATCTCGCTATTTCATGAAAACTAGTAAGCAACAATTTCTACTTGGGGGCAATAAAAACAGCATACTAAAAATATCTATTAATTATTTGTACACATTCAAAACAGTATAATTTACATTGGAGGCTTATAGGTGGGAATTATCTTTGAAAATCGAGGAATGCCAACTATATCAGTGTCATAGTAAACATTTTTCACATGCGGACCCCGGGCCTTGTATGTGTGCTTTCCGTCAGCATCAATTGATATCGGAAGTAGACCTGAAGACGAAATTTAGTGGAATGATATATCGCTACCTTATTTATTTAAGTACAAACAGTTGGTTGAATTTACCTGAACTTTGGGCTCTTTCGATGAGCATTTCAACGTGTAGTTGAGTGCCCTTAGTTAAACCCGAAATCTCTCTAGGTAAAATAGTGCCATCAGGACGAAGAAACTGGCACAAGATAAGAATATCAGTATGCCGAAGTTTAAGACCCAATCGAATAATCGGATCATTGATTCGAGGATCACCAAGTCCAGTCATATCCAAGAGATTAGGAGTACGCTCAGATTTGCAGGGAACACCTTCATACTAATTAAAAGAGGAAGATTAAAGTATTCTGATTCGGTCTTACCGTAACGGTTTTGCCATCTTCGATTCTCTTAACTACAAAATTCGAAAAATTTTATATCTTTTCACAGAATTACGAGGCGCAAATGACAATTTGACATACTCTCTTTCTTCAAAAGTCTGGAAGATGTGAACAAGGTACGAAGTGGATTCCGATGAACAAGCCTCGATGTCGGACGAAAGAACATCTAGGTTAAGTAAAATCAAGGACTCGAATATTAAAATACATTTAAAGTCACTCCATAGCATACACTGGAATACATAATTGATTACTTTTGTATTTCTAATAATAATAAAAATTCCTCATACGCTCATAATCACATCGCTGTAAGAATTCAAGATCGATATAGATACTGTATTAAAAACTTCGCGAAAATATATGTATCAAATAATAAGCACAGAAAAGAAAAACATATAGGTATGCTTACAAGCACTTTAGAAACAGACCGAACCTGAAAAATGCTTGACCGACCCGGTAGTTATGTGAACTAGTAAAACTACGATTATCAAAAATTATTATTAGAGCGATAAGTTACGTAACTTGTGGAGATATTCATGAAACTTTTTACTCTTACTTGCAAAATTTATTTGGTTATCATATTTTATTAGTGCATTGTGAAACGTGATATTTTACCATCTTTGTCTTCAGTTAATAGGAAGGGGGGGGGGGGAGTGTCGTAAATATGTAATTAATCAAAATATTCATCAATATATTTCTTCATGTGATTTTCAAGGTCTTATAAATATCAAGGTAGGTTTCTAATAAGTAGCAGTGATACTATTGCTCAAATAACACAGATACATTTAACACATGCCACCCCTCGCCCCCCCCCCATATCATAATTTAATTTCCCCTTTTTTAACTTTTAATTTTAATTCTTTTATTAAAGTAAACTAATTTATATGGTCTTCAATTATAAATTAACTTTAGATTCAGTAAAGTCCACTTGGAAGACTAAGGAGATATTGATTATCCTTTTCGCCTTTCCTACAGAATGGTTAGCAAGTAAAATGGACTATTAAGTTTTATTGGATAACGATTCCTAGATTATCGACTTGAAATGCCATTGATATAACGGTTTACCACGTAATCAAAATACAGAATATATAGATGATCAATTTTACTTAAGAAAAAAATTTGTTCTTGTTATCTCATAAGTGCACTAATAATACTCTCGGCGGCCATAGATCCTGGTACGCACAGCTTCTTAAAAATGTGACAAGTGGTCAACTAATGGTTGACGTTGAATATCGAAAATGTGTGACAGAAATCGCCTCTTCGAAATGGTTTGAAACATAAATCAGATCAAATAAATATATCATTATAAAATCAAACATGCCGCTTCCTATCTGCGTAATATCGCGGCATATGAAATTGTAATATGCTGATATTTTGAACACGTTTTCCATACACAAATGCCACTTATCTATTTTTGCAGCATTTTTTAGTATTTTAAAATATCATATTCGTACATTGTTTCACCTATTAGTGTAAAATCAGAATACAAATCAATACCAGTCTACACGTTTAAATTTAATTTACTTAAATATTTATTAGTAGCCTAATGGAGAATATGAAATCTGTGATTCAGTTCAATACCGTTTTCGCCTTAAGCTCAAACTCAATGCAGCAGTGCGTACTTAATCCTCTTATTTTAAGTTGCGTCTTAAGTGATCATGGTTTGTTTTATAGGCGTAGTAAGCGTCTTATCTGTGGGCGTCTAACTATGCTCATATTGTTACCAGCACCTGTTTTCTACTGGTTGAAGTAAATTATCTAAAGTGCATATCTCATAAGCATAAACTGCTCTTTCATTTAGGAATATATATATATATATATATATATATATACNNNAAAAAGTGCACACAATTTTTATATATATATATATATATATATATATATATGAAAATTGTGTGCACTTTTTCCTACTTAGAGAGTTGAACGAATTTAATACCTTCTCTGTTTTCCTTAAACCCATCCATTGAGGAAACATTTGCGTCCCGTAAACGACTTAAAAAATAGGATGATTACCAATAGTAAACATTACTTTATTTACTCGATCTGAATTTGGGGAACCTGCAATTTTAGCATATTGGAAAAGTGATCAACTAGAATTTCCTCCAATCATCAACCACAAGTATTCTGTTAGCTCAAGGTCACAAACTAAATCGATTGAATTACATAGATAAGGATTAATAAAACGAATTGTTTTCTTCCCTCTCTTTTGCTTACTAATGGGGAAACCGTTTCAATTGCGAAACAGTTTAGAGATTTTTTGAAAACGTTGTCCTGTGGCGTCATGTGACATCATTTCAGGCACGTGTGTGCGTAAAGTAGTAGCCACTGAAACAGAATGCTCACTTAGACGGATGTCTGACCCAATTTTTACCCATTTTGGACGAGCTGAAGTAGACTGGCTTTAAAACTCACCAGACATTGGACATGGCCAGAATTTGTGCCGAGGTTTTCAAAACCAGACTTTCGCTAACCCTAAAATACATCTGCCCATCCAGTGTGAGGTTACAAAAAAAACACCTTAGCTAATATCGCCATGAAAATGCTTTGTTTTTCGTTCACGAAGAGCACTGTTGTCTCTGTGGAACCACGTCTTGATGAATTATCAATTTTTCTTCTTTTTTTTTGTAACTCCCGTTTTATTTGCATTTACAATCGAACACACACACAGAGACGTTTTTCATTTGTCTGGTTATACGTTTCTCGTACGTCCCGTTCCTCCATCATCTCTTCAATTCACTTTCGTCCACACAACTCTTTGCGTTCAACCTTTTGGAATTGTTCCTCATTGTTGACCGCTGGTGACTATAGTCTTTTACAATTTGGTGGCCATTTGAGTATTCGCATTTCTGTACAAAAATTTCGTTAATAAGTGAAGGTTGAAATAACCTAGCTTATAGTAGCTAGAACTGAAAATTTAGTACGTCTATTTAGAAGAGACTATTCATGCCAAAGTAAAATTTTAGCTATTTTCTTGTATTGAACATGGAGAAGAGAAGCACAAAATTTGTTTGGCGAATACTCCATGGTGCGCTATATTTAGTAGTTAGCTCCCACATTTCTCGACATACCGTGTAACGATAATGAGAAACTAGCCCTGCCGTCTGGTGCATCGTAAATATGCTTGTAGCTTTGTGTCGTCCCATTAAAATATCTAGGTACGAGGTTGTAAAACGCTCCTAGCAGTCTACTATGCATACGGGTGTGTAAAAGCATCTTGCCTACCCACGAGTAGAAAATAAACGGTCTTTTTACCTCTCAAACTGCGCATTTAAAGCCACGCAAAAATTTAGGGACGGTAGATCTAGTTTACGCTTAGACATTAAGGGATAGAAAAGATAAGAGCGTAAAGTCTAAGCGAATTATTTATCGATTTTTTACGTATGACTCATCGCTTATCAGGTAATGCAGAGAGTAAAGCCCATACGATGTACAAAAGTAAAAAAAAGAGCACTTATTTAAGGGTAAGCGGATATCTAGCAAAAGTCCCTTCTTTTTTACCCTTTTAAGAGTCATCTCAGCAAAGTTGTTTAGGCAGAAGGCAGGTAGGCTGAGGGTGACGTCACCCACAGGCGCATATTTTAGTGTCCAGAAATCGTGTCATCAGGATGCGTCAATTCTCTCACACTTGCTATTTTTTTCACTTCACTTCCAAGCATCACTACGTTATTTGGCACGAGATGTGTCTATTTTGTTCACCAACTACAACAAATGCCGGAGTGAAGCATTTCCTCTCTCCCTCTCTCTTTCTCTCATCCCCTATTGGTTGTTTAACCGAATAATAAAACATTTTATCACATTGGAATCAGCCCCTGCAGCAAGAAATGGCTCAAAGTCACAAATAAAATAAAATGCGCATTAATAAAAAAGTACTAGACAGAATTCATTACGTCAAAAGATCAGCAATTTAAAATTTGCGGTCATTAAAAATGGGTGGTAAAACTTAAATATTTCAGTGAACTCATTAAATAACAAAGGTAAATATTATTTAAAATTACCGCCCTATTATTTGAAAGCCAACAGGTCGCTTTATTTGTCTAAATACATAGAGATACCCCAATGATCATCAGGTTTAAGTGATGTTAGACTCAAACAAACTTACAAATAAGTTAAAGTATTTCCCTATCTTCGGAATAAAGTTGAAGGAAAAAGGAGTAATTGAAAATACAATTTTATTTGTACAAAATGTCTAAATCTTATTGAACCAACTTAGGAGAGAGGCGAATTGATTCGATCCTACCTCTCGCTATGTCGGAATGCACGATGGAGTCTTCTAAACGTCCAAAAAAAGCAAGAGATTAAGATAGAAGGACACCATCAAATTCTCCTTTTGAGGTTCAAGTTTTAATCTCTCCACAGCGTCTTGACACTTAATTGCAAAACATGGGGTGGATCAGCACCCTTCCAACTCAATGGGAAGAGGTCTACCTTTAACTCTTAAACAAGGAGAGGATTGCGTAGCAACTGTGAATTTAATTGAACTTGCAAATTTACATCCTTGAATAAAGATGCCTTGAATTAATAAAATGTGCTAATCCTGGGCAACAAAATCATAACATCTTTGCTTAATTCTGTTGCCTCGAATCACGTGGTATTTTTAATTATAAAAGTCAATATATTATTTGAAATTTCCTACTAGAGAAATTCAGCTTTTATTCGATTTCCTTTCTCATGTAAGCACAACTGGAGGGAGATTCATGTTGTAAAACTGTTTGAAATTGTTCAATTAAGTAAAATCATTCAAAATGCTAGTAAAGTGCCCATCTAACAACGACGCTCATCCCGTGGTACTTAATTTGAATAGAATTCATATAATTATTAATAAAACGAAACTCTAATTTTACTGGACTCTCTTAAAGTCGGTATCTCTCTAATGCAGACGTTTTGTGCATAATTTACTCACCTAAATGAACTCCGTCACATATTAACCAAACAATTAATAAAGTGGATAAATACCATTGTCTGATGTTTATGAATTGTGCTAAAACGAGAATAATTTACTACCAGACAGCGTGAACCAACGTTATGTCGGAGAGGTCAAGTTGGGCCAGATACCCACGCCATGACCTGGTTGGTTTTTCAACCAAAAAGGGCATTTCTATCGCCAAACATGGATAGCATTACTCTAGTTTTAATGTTAAGGCACGGCGCCTCTGGGATGTGCGATAGACT